TTACAGATGATTATACAGATGTGTACACTAGCAGTTGAACCCAGGTCCTCTGCAAGAGTGGCCCTTGCTCTTAACCTCTGAGTCTTCTTTTCAGCCCCTCCTCCCTCCACTCTTATACAGCTCAGGAGTCCCTGCCTAGGGAATGATGCTACCCACAGTGGGTGATTCTTCCCAACTCAATAAATACATTCAAAGATAATTCCTCACAGACATGTCTGTGGGTCAAACTGAACTAGGTCACCCTCCTTGGGACTCCCTGAATTTTTTTAGATTTTGTCAGTTGACAAAAGATGATCACAGTGGGGTTACAAAAGCTTTCTCTGATGAAAGATGCTTGAATTGAGGTTAAAAAAAATGAGAATATTTGAGTTTTGCTTTAAATGGATCACAGTTATAAATAAAAGAATACACCAGGGTAGCATGCAGAAAAAAACGTATTACTTCCTGAAACTGTAAGACAAAGGAAAAAAATCTGCTGGGCATGGTGGCACACACACTTAATCCAAGCTTTCAGGAGGCAGAGGCAGGAGGATCTCTGTGAGTTTGAGGTCTACTGTTGTGAAATATTAGTTAAAGATGTATTACATCTGTTTATGCTGTGGAATATTTATTAACGATGTAAAGATGTGTTGCATTCTTTTATGTTGCATTTATTTAACTCTGAAACTGTGTTACTTCACTTAACTTTACTTGAAGCTGTGTTAAAACACCTGATTGATCTAATAAAAAGCAGAACATCTAATAACAAGGCAGGAGAAAGGACAGGTGGGGCTGGCAGGCACAGACAATAGATGGGAGGAAATCTGGGAAGAGATTGAGGAGCAAAAGAAGAAGAAGGAGAGGAGGACATCAGGGGCCAGCCACCCAGCTACACAGCAAGCCACAAAGTAAGAAGTTAAGAAAGATATATAGAAAGATAAAATTCCAGAAGCAAAAGGTAGACAGGATACCTTAAGAAAAGCTAGCTAGAAATAAGACAAGCTAAGGCCGAGCATCACAAGACTCCATCCACAGAGTGAGTTCCAGAACAGCCAGGGCTGCATGAAGGTGGGGACAACAGCCTCCTCTTCATATTTCAAAGAGAAATATTTTCAAAAGAGAGATGGAAAATATATTTGAAGAACTTAGAAAGCCAAGAGTCACAAAAAAAAAAGATGATCTTAAGAGAACAGTGCATAGTAATCTCCAATCTGATACCAACCCTGGCTGTTTAACACATGCCTAAAACACTGAAAATAGTTAAAGAGTAGCCAGTAGTACTGTGAGGGTGATGACGAGGAGGATGATGATGAGGGTGATGATGATAAAAGATACTTTAGGGGATGGATGGATGTCTCAACTGTCAAGACCACTTGCTGCTGTTCCAGAGGACTTGAATTCAGTTCCTAGCACCCTATAGCAGCTCACAACTATCAGCAACTACAGTTCCAGGTGGATCTGACGCCCTCTTCTGGCTCTGATGGCACTGCATGCCTATGGCACACATACATGCATATAGACAAAACATTCATAGACAAAATTTAATCCTGAAAAAAAAGGGTGGTGGCACACGCCTTTAATCCCAGCATGCGAGAGGCAGAGGCAGGCGGATCTCTGTGAGTTCGAGGACAGCCTGGTCTACAGAGTGAGTTCCAGGACAGCCAAGGCTATACAGAGAAACTAACAATAATAGTAATAATGATAATAATAATAAATAACAACTTTAAAGGTACTTTGTTGCTTTGGGTACATACACTCAATTTAAGTTTTGATGCTACTTTTCTATTTTTTATTAATATTTACATTTATTTTCTTGCTGCGGGAAGGTTTAAAGCTAGTAACTATAGACTTTTTACCTGGATGCAGAAGCACATCCGGCCCCTTCTCTCGTCCCCCTCATTCCCGTTTGGCTCCTTCGGATTGTTTTGGATCTCATTTCCATCCGCCGTACAAGCAGAGAATCCTGGTTTGTAAGTTTTCCCCCTAAATCAATAACTGTCTCTCAATAATCTATCTCTCAGTTCTGAGCCAGTGTGAGATTTCTTTTAAACGCCCGATATCTTTATCATCATTTTATGTTCGAACACACGTTGGGGGACACAGATGCCGCAAAGTGAATGCTGATGTTGGAGGACAGTTTGCCAACGTTCTCTCCAGTCACATGGATCTCAGGATTGAATTCAGGTTGTCAAACTAAGGAGCAAGAGCCTTTACCCTCTGAGACCCTCACAAGCTCTGCTTTTATCCTATTTAATAAAAATGACACATAGTCAAACCCACCAGAAAATCCCTTCGTTACTTTTGCTTTTTAAGGGGTGGGAAGATGTTAAAAAAAAAATACCCAAAATGCTCACATTGTGTAGGAGTCACTTGACATTCCTTAACTTTTACTAAAAATACTGACAGGCTTGAAACCTTGCAGAAACATTGGCAACAGTCCAGAAGTGGAATTCAACTACACAGCTGCTGATGAGCCGCATGGGAATAGCAAACCTGAAGTCATAACCTTGCCAGTATGCCTCACATGTACATAAACTGCTCATAATTCCGTAAAGTGTATTTATTTATTTATTTATTTAATGAAAGAGAGGGAAGGAGGGAGAGAGAGAGTTCAAGTGGCTGCATGGAGGTCAAAGAAAAATTCCTGGGTGTGATTCTCTCCTACCAATTTATAGGATCCAGGATTCAAACTCAGGTCGTCAGTCTGTGTACAAGAACCTCTATCTGCTGAGCAATCTCACTCATCTTATTTTTTTTTATCATTTATTGATTTATAGGGGTTTTAGGACAAAGGACAATTTATGAGTGCATCCTGGCGATAGAACTCAGGCAAGTGCCTTTAAGTTAAGCCCGCTTGCTGGCCCCAAAAGGTTTTATAAAAGAATAAAGTAAGCAAACAAATTTATCCAATGCAATTTTCCAATTTATTAGAAGTTCAATTTGTTCTGTTCATGGAAATTGTTGCTTATATTGGGTTTTGTTTTGTTGTAGTAGTTTTATATTGTTTTTCTTTTGAGATAAGGTTTCTCTTTGTAGCTTTGGCTGTCATGGAACTCACTCTGTAAACCAGGCTGGCCTCGAACTCACAGAGATCTGCCTGCTTCTGCCTCCGGAGTGCTGGGATTAAATGTGTGCACCATCATCACCCACCTGTCTGTTTATAGTGTATACTGAATTAAAAATTTAGCATATCTCTCTGGCTTTGTCCCCACTTACTCCCACAAGTCCCCTGCCTTCTGCACTCATATTTACGGCCATCCCAATACAAAAAAAAAAAAACTAGTAAAAGATGATCTGGAGTCCATACTGTTTTTTTCTTCTATCCACTAGAGAGTGACAGTTCTTGGGTGTGTTCTACTAGATAAGGGAGCTGCCACCTCAGCTGTGTGTCATTATATCCCTAGGTCTCACATTCCTGAGTCCAATGCCACCTGGGAAGTGTACTCTTCAGGAGTTTTGCATACAGTCTCAGAGCTCTACAATAATAAATCTAATCTAATCTTAAGGCATTTACAGCATCCCAAAACATAGCTTCGACTTGAGACCCACACACACACACGTGTGTGTGTGTGCGTGTGCGAGTGCGCACGTGCTGCACACATGCCAAATCCTTGAAACAAGGCAAAGAGTCCAACAGGTACAACCAAAATAAATAGAAATATATAAGAAACAAATCAACTAGCCTGACCACAAGTTTGATATTATCATACATTGCAGTTGGCATCAAGGAAAGTCTCTTATTCCTCACCTTCAGACCTATACTGTTGGCAAACTGAAAACCTGTCCCTAGACAGGCGATGGTAGTGCACACCTTTAAAGCAGATCTCTGTGAGTTCGAGGCCAGTCTGGTTTTCCGAGTGAGTTCCAGACAGGCTCTAAAGCTACAGAGAAATCCTGTCTCGAAAAGCCAAAAACCAAAACAACAACAAAAAAAAACACCTGTCCCCATCTCAGCCCTTTCAAATGTCCTAATCTATGCTTTTATGCCTTCATTAAGGTTTTTTAGGCTACTTGCATGACCATCAAGTGTTCCCCCAACTTCTCCAGTACCGAGGGGATCTTTATCCCTTAATATCCAGCTCACATGATCTAAGCCCTCATTCCGTACTTCAAGGGAGCTGTCCACCCCGCAAGTATTTCTAAGAACCTTGGGAAATGCTCCCTACAAAATATATACAAATATATCCTATTCTTTGTTACAAAGCTATTCGAGACTATTGCTTCTTAAAAGTTCTCTTCCTTCTGTATGAAAATGATTCATGAACTCATTTTCCCAGAGGCAACCTCTTCACACAAGTGTAAAAATTTTGCAGTAGGCACCCTCCCAAATCTCAAAGTATAGCTAACATCACATTTGTAAATTTCACTGCTGAACTCCAGATAACATGGGGGGCGGGGACAAAACATTACTATTATTCTATTGTCCTAGAACTTCTGCCTGTACTTTTTATCCAAGAGTTCCCGACCAGTCACAGTGCTATAGAAGGACAGATTCCTTCCTCAAGTCAAGAGATTTCTCCGCACTGCATTAAGCAATGCTTTCCCATTTGTGTGTGCGTGTGTGAGAGACTGTGCCTATTAGAATACATAAGTGCGTTGTGTATGTGGAGGTCAGAGGGCAACCTCGGGGGCCAGTACTCAGTCACTGTTCACCTTTTAAAGGAAGGGGAAGAGGGGGAGGGAATAAGAGACCAAAGCGGGGGAGGAGAGTAAGAAGGGAAAGGGCGATGGGAAGAGGAAGAAAAGAGGAAGGAAGGGAGGCGGAAGTGAGAGCTTCAGTGTATTTTATCACTTTGTTGGAGGTGTTCGTTTCATCAACTTGTTGAAATCCCACGGCTAAACAACAAACCACATCAATCAAAACCAGAAGAAAAGGAGAACTAAGACCGGAACAGCTGTAACATCGTGAAGAGCCAGGATGTGGCATCGAGCCGACCTCTGCTACTCCACCCAAGAGAGGCTGTCGCGAGTCCACGTCTGCGCAGGCGCCGACCGTGCTGCCGAGGCGCCGAGTGTGCCCGGAAGTGACGCGAGTCGTGCTGGTAGCAAGCTAGGGAAGGGTTGAGCGAATCGCTGAGGCTAGCGGGCCCAGCGGCTGTCCTCGGCCACTATGAGCTGCACGATCGAGAAAATCATGACAGACGCCAAGACGCTGCTGGAGCGTCTGCGCGAGCACGATGCGGCGGCCGAGTCCCTGGTGGACCAATCGGCCGCGCTGCACCG